GGATAAAAAAAAAAAAAAAAAAAAAAAAAAAAAAAAAGAAAGAAAGAAATGTGAGGATTGATGGAATTCAGGTAAAAGTTAGAATTGGCACATTTGAACAGACTTTATGTGAAGTCATGCCTCTTTTGCCTGATTTTGTTATGGGGGTGGACACTGTATCTCACTGGGGAACGTTTCCCTACCTAGTCTTGTAAAACAGGTGTGTAAAAACGCCCTTCAAGCCACATAAATTGGATGTGCTAAATGGAAATGTGCGCGATTGCCTGAGCCTGCACGGTGTGGAAGCGAAGCTGGAACAGATTCTCTGCCATAGCCCATGTGGAGTGTGAACGGGCTGTGGCCGCGCCCCATGAGCACCTCCTAGTGATGACCACTGGTACGTTAGACAAGACACTTCTCATTGGTGGAGCATTTACTACCTTGCTGTCAGACAGAAATTGAAGCTACTCACGCCTGAAGGACATAAAATGATCTTGAAACTTGAAATACCTACAGTGTCTTTGGTGATGTCAGAGAAATGCTCTAATGGGTATTGCAGGGCCCAGAGAGTAAGAGAATGAAATGGAAGTGGTTTGTACAGGCTGGTGCTGCTGGGAACACAAAGAGATACAAGCAGGGAGCCTTTTTTCCCCTGGGACCAACTGCGGGATGGTGTGAAGGGCTCCTGGCTTCTATTGTCACTTGGATGGTGCCCTATAAATAGCTCTTTTTATTTTATTTTATTAATCCTCACTGGTTTTATCCATTGATTTTTCAGAGAATAGTGGAGGGAAGGGGGAGGGCAGAGAGAGACAGAAACAGAGAGAGAGAGAGGAACATTGATGTGAGAGAGACACATGATTTGTTGCCTTCTGCACGTGCCTTGACCGGGGCTAGTGATCAAACCTTCGACCCAGGTGCCTGCCTTTGACTGCGAATCAAACCCACCACCTTTCAGTACATGGGCCAATGCTCTAAGCACTGAGCAACACCGGCCAGGGCTAAATAGTCTTGACTGACCAACAGAGAACTGGTTTGTGGACAGTAATTCCACAGTAAATGGACAACATCCTGTTTGGAAGACTCTGATCGAAGAAGGTAAAAACAGATCAGCTCATGGACCGAATCGCATGCTGCTTTCCCAGCAGTGATGGAAGAATTGAACAGTAAGATACCCTATGTTTGGTTTTTACAACTCATGGGTAGTGGCCAGCGGTCTGACCATCTGAGTAGGCAGGAGGGAAATGGAAACTTGGTCCCTGTGGAAATCCTTGTGGGAGTTTGAGGGGTGAATAAAGTAGGACATGTTGGTGTTCATCTGAAGAACCCTCTTCCAGATTTGGAAGGTGAATCTATAAGCAGATATCTCTGTGTGCTCACTTGAGGTGGCCCCCTGGGCCCATAAAATAAGTGTACATGAAGACCAAAAGTAGCTACGTGCCAAATTCCCTGGGGGAAAGGCCTTGATCGTAGCTGTTAAGTGAGACTAATGCTGGTGGCCCTAGGGGGCAAGAAATGGGTTTGGATGAGAACAGATGCTGACTGTGGACTGGGCTTTGCTTACCCAGGGGTAGATGCAAATGCTCAGATGCTATTTAAAAAAACAGAACAGAAGATAGTACACCAATTATTATGGCCAATTGTCATTTCTTCAGGCCAAGGACCACACTTTATAGTCCATGATATTCAACAATGGAGAGATGTCCTTTCTCAGAATTTTATTTGACAGAGAATTGAAATGGGCAATAGAAACATTAATTGTCTAAAATGAAAGGAGATAAAGACCTGAAGAGCTGGCTGGCTTACACACCTTCATGAATGTGTACTCACACACAACATGAACACGAGTGGAGCTAAAGGAGTTTCCCCACTGGACAGATTTATCTGTTTTTCTGATGACCTGT